GAGGATGAATGAGCGAGATATTAATTAATGTATATATTGAGCAGCCCTATTGTTGCAAGTACGCAGTTGGCGCCAGTTTGCCACACGAATATAACATGTGGTCAATAGTCTCTGGATATTCTCCCCTGTAAGCGATAGTATAGGTTACTGTTAAGTTTAGGATATTATCATCATATAATAAATTTGCTTGTATCTCTTTTCATTAGTTCACATGACCAATACACCTTGACAATACGGGTAATTTGCTTTTTAAGCCTTCGGCTAAATATGTAATAAAAATTTTCCGAGGAATTATATTTACTATCTCTCTATATTTCTGAGAGGAGGTATTATGTACACTATTTACATTGTTCGGACTACTGTCCTCATCTTTGTCGCCATATCTATCACAATGTTTCGGCCGTTGTACGCTCCTGCCTTGTTCAGGTGGTTGGAATGTCGAACTGAATTATGTGCCATCCACTGTGCCATGTGTCCACAAAGACACATGGCACAGTGGATAAAGGCGTTGGTTAGATCCAGTGACAGGACCCAAAGAGTGTGAGTTCAATACCTAGTTAAGGCGGTGGAGAACTTTGAAAGGGGAATTAACGGGAGATAACTGATAACTGACATCCATTAAACATGGCACGTGGAACTAGAACAGTGAGCTAAATGTTCAGTTCGACATTCCAAACACCTGAAGAAGGCCAGAGCGTACAACGGCCGAAACGTTGTGATAAATATGGCAACAAATATGAGGACAATAGTCTGAATAATGTTAATAGTTATATTTCGGTGTAAATTTACATGCTTAATTCGAAAATGACAAAGAAATTTTGATCTACCGTTTAGAAGTTATCGACAATAAAATTTTGGACTCATTCGGCAGCCAATACTGGCGTTGTTTGCGTACATTCTCTGCTGATAAGATCTGCGCGGAAGATTACATTGTTAACGCCCTTTTTACGGTTCTCACTTGATTCAATTACTGCGCAACTGGCGGTGGGGACCTCGAGGTGGTGTAATGGTGAGCAAGTTTGTCTCGCTAGAACAATTACGATTGAGTAGTGAGTTCGATCCTAACTGGGTGTCACCTATTTTGGCCTTGTGCTACATCTAAGCTACGCTTGGAAAATCGCTACTGCGCAACTGAGGACTCGTTGCGTGCGCAATAAAAAAGATTATTCCGCAGCAAATACATGCAAACAACGTCAGTAATGGCTGCCGCGACGCGAATGATTCCGCGCTTCTCTTGTCAATAACTCCAAAACGGTAGATTTTATCAAAATTTCTTCATTATTTTTTAATTAAGCATATATATTTACACCAGTATATAACTATTCGGCAAACTTTTATTACTTATTAACGCGGGGCTTAAAAAGCAAATTACCCGACAGCACCTCACAAATAATGGATTATTCCATTTTGATCGTGTGGAAAGAGTGATAACATATAAGAGACGCTACTTGATTTCAGAGGAAATTAAAAATGAAGGAAAGAAAGAAATAGAGAATTGTTTAATGTATCCTGCTAATAACTTATAAATAATGTACTATTCCGTTTTGATCGTGTGCGAAGACAAAAGACATGTCAAAGAAGCTACTTGGTTTCAGTGAGAAAATTAAACAAGGAAAGACAGAAGTTTTAACGTCTGTTTCAGTGAAATAGAAAAAAAAATCAGGTTCAAATATTTTCATTTGTACCCCCTTACTTCTGAAAATAACGACCAACAATTGCAATATTTTGTTAAAGGTGTGTATTTAACGATGCGATAGGGGAATTTCTATGGATATTTTATTGTTGTAGAACTCGCCATGAGCTTATTCAATCATTAACTGAAAAATTAAAATCAGTAGATTTTACCAAATTTTCTTCGTTATTTTTTTTAAATTAAGCATTTAATTTAATTTTACCGGTTAAAAATAGTTATTATTATTATTATTATTGTTATCATTTTTATTTTTCTTTGATTTCTGGCGTTTACACATTTCTTTCCGGGTCCCGCCCAGGGACCTAAGGTTAGAAATGGCATCATGACACTTTCCACTGACAAAAAAAAAATTACATAGATAAAGCCCTTCGTAAAGTGTGAGCTGTACTTGTCAGAACAATTTTTTGTATCTCCTTGAGGCATGGACTTCCAGGAATCCCTTCAATTAGTCTACTGCAATCTTTTCCAACCAGTCCTAGGGCTCCAACTACAACAGGGATTGTTGATGTTCCCATATGTCACATTTTCGAGATTTCTATTTCAAGGTCCTTGTATTTTGACAGCTTTTTGAATATCTTCAAAGATACATTGCAGTGAGCAGGGACTGCCATATCAATAAGGAGGCACCGATTTTGTTTGTGGTCTTTAATAACAATATCTGGGCGGTTGGCTTTGATTGTTCTGTCAGTGGGTATTGTGTAGTCCCATAGAATTGTAACAGGTCCTATCTCCGTAACCGGGTCTGCGTGGTATTCATACCATTTTCTTTCAGTTTCCTTCTCGTAGAAGTTGGAGATTTTCCAGTGCAGATATTGGCCCACTCTGTCATGCCGGGTTTTATATTCAGTGGGTGACAATATCGTGCAACCTGATACAAGATGATCAATCGGTTCTGGATATTTGTCACACAATCTACATTTTGGGCTAACACAATATTTTAGTATATGTGCTTGATAATTCCTAGTTAGCAAGCATTGGTCCTGTGCTGCAACGATAAAACCTTCAGTTTCAGCTTTCAACCCTGCACTACGTAGCCACGGATGGGTACGGGTTTTGTCTACATCAGCTTGTTTGGTACAGGAAGAGTATTGGCCATGCAGCGGTTTATCTTGCCATCACTTCTGTATCTGGTCGGTTGCATTCGTCTTTGCTGTCTTTTTTTTTTAAGTATTTTGCAGTTTCAGCCGGTGTATTGTGCTGTACTTGCATTTCTACGCCCATTTGAAACTCCATTTTGAATTTGTTGGCTTCTTTTATTACGATGTAAAGACGCTTACTACTTTCATGTTCCTTGACGCATACCATCATCCAGTCTTCTGTAGTTTCCAAGTACTTTTGGAGGCCAACTGTTGTAGTTTTGTAGGACAGTTCTAGTTGAACTAATCCTCTGCCTCCTTAGGATCTGGGAATATACAGACGATCAACATCAGCTTTGGGATCATACATGCGATAGCAAGTGAGAAGCTTTCTTGTTTTGGCGTCCATTCGCTTATTTTCAGCTATGGTCCAGTTAAGGACATTAAAGCTGTATTGCACCACAGGTGCTTATGACTGATATTCTGTATTGTCCGTTTAGCTCGGTATTTAGTACCAGACGTACACGCCTGTAGTACTCCTTTCTTACCTTCTTCTTCATTTGGGGCTGTTGTATGCTGTTGTATGTTGTATGACATCTCCTTCGCTAATTCCTAGGTACTTATAGGCATTATCATGTTCTAGTTCCCTAATCTTTGTGACAAAATCTAAATCTATTAAGAGTGTTTCTGTAATTCTGTAATTCTACCTTTATTATTATTATTATTATCATCATATAAATGGTTGAATTTTTGTCTCTTTTCGGGCTCTTCAGTTTACAGCAAATTGTACAAATTACTAAAATAGCGTAAAATGGATTTCAGACTCTATGTCATATTTATTTTCTATTTATTCTACAAGATTATTCAGTCATGTTTGTTCTGGTAAAAGCTGTGATTCGCCATGTTGATTTTGCCATGCATTTTGTTCAGATGTACCGAAAATGTTTGAAAATGACGGTAAAATACCCCCATCGACCCTGTTCACACAAGTGTCTAAATTTCGCTTTTTCGTCCATACATCGATTGATTTAAAAGGCCTCACGCCGCGGTAATAAATAGCTTAATGATATGTAGATAGATTGTGAAGATCGGTTACATATTAACTTAAACACCGAGGCGCCATCTTTAGTTAAGTGTTGAGAGACGGCTTGTATCCATTAAACTCGAGAAAGAGAGACGGCCGCGCGAATAAAAGAAAGAAAGAAAGAAAGAAAGAAAGAAAGACAGAAAGAAAGAAAGAAAGAAGGAATTAACTGGTTATAATGGGGAGTAAAAGAGGGAAAAGAATGAATCTGCAAGCAGACACAAAAAAGAAGGAAAAAAACAACAATTGTAGCAGGAGGGGACATAAAAAGAGAGATACAACTAGAAAAGTGAGCGGGGCAGAGAGAAGGCGAAAGAGAAAGAACGGGAGAAATAGATAATAAAGAGAATAAAGAAGAGAAAGAAATAGATGATAAGGAAAAGAAAGAAGAGAAAGAAAGAGTTAATATAGGAGAGGGAGAAGAGAACGAAAGAGATGACAGAGAAAAGAAAGAGGAGAAAGAAAGAGTTAATATAGAGGAGGGAGAAGAGAACGAAAGAGATGACAGAGAAAAGAAAGAAGAGAAAGAAAGAGTTAATATAGGGGAGGGAGAAGAGAACGAAAGAGATGAAAGAGAAAAGAAAGAAGAGAAAGAGTTAATATAGGGGAGAGAGAAGAGAAAGAAAGAAATAGATAATATAGGAAAGAAAGAAGAGAAAGAAAGCGATGATTGAAATGATAAAAAATAAAATGAAAAAGAAGAGAACGTAAGAGGAAATGCTCGTGGAAATAAAAACAGAAAGAACAAGAAAATGATAGGGAGAATGACGAAGAGGAAGAAAGAGAAGACGATAAAGGAAATAAAGAAGCGAAAGGAAGATGATGATAAGGAGAATGAAGAAGAGAGAAAGAAAAAGAAAACCTTTCATGAATTCAGACACTGACAACACAATATTGATAGAAAATTCGAGGGGAAATATTGAACAGACTAGGGTCCTGCGGAAAGTTACCACGGGCGGGGCAATAATAAAACATTAGAAAATAGTTGTTGTTGTTGTTCAGTAAACATGCTTCCAATACAGGAAGTGGTCATCTGTTGAACCTTGTATTGACAGTACAACCAGACGCACGGGTCAGTCGACAGTGTGATCAACGCATTGTGTACACGAGAGCTGAGATTATATTTGCTCCGCAGTGAATAGACTGTATGCACAAGTTAGTGTGTATTGGTCGGAAAAGGAAAAGACCGAGGGAAACGGAGAAGCGAGCTGGGAGGAGAGAGAGAGAGACAGAGACAGAGACAGAGAGAGAGAGAGAAAGAGAGAGAGTGGATATGTCTAAGGATGAATGCGAATCAAAAATAGAATAAAATAAATACCAAAGTGATCACCTACGTTAATCTATCGATTTACATCTATCTATCTATCTATCTATCTATCTATCTATCTATCTATCTATCTATCTTGGTCTGGTTATATATATCTCTCTGTTTGTCTGTCTATCTAACTGTATCAATCTATTGCTGTCTTCATATCTATCTATCTATCTATCTATCTTGGTCTGGTTATATCTGTCTATCTGTTTGTCTATCTACTTATGTATCTATGTAATTGTATCAAAGAATTGCTGTCTTCATATCTATCTATCTATCTATCTATCTATCTATCTATATTGGTCTGGTTATATCTGTCTATCTGTTTGTCTATCTAACTACCTATGTATCTATGTAATTGTATCAAAGACTTGCTGTCTTCATATCTATCTATCTATCTATCTATCTATCTATCTATCTATCTATCTATCTATATTGGTCTGGTTATATCTGTCTATCTGTTTGTCTATCTAACTACCTATGTATCTATGTAATTGTATCAAAGACTTGCTGTCTTCATATCTATCTATCTATCTATCTATCTATCTATCTATCTATCTTGGTCTGGTTATATCTGTCTATCTGTTTGTCTATCTAATTACCTATGTATCTATGTAATTGTATCAAAGACTTGCTGTCTTCATATCTATCTATCTATCTATCTATCTATCTTGGTCTGGTTATATCTGTCTATCTGTTTGTCTATCTAACTACCTATGTATCTATGTAATTGTATCAAAGACTTGCTGTCTTCATATCTATCTATCTATCTATCTTGGTCTGGTTATATCTGTCTATCTGTTTGTCTATCTAACTACCTATGTATCTATGTAATTGTATCAAAGACTTGCTGTCTTCATATCTATCTATCTATCTATCTTGGTCTGGTTATATCTGTCTATCTGTTTGTCTATCTAACTACCTATGTATCTATGTAATTGTATCAAAGAATTGCTGTCTTCATATCTATCTATCTATCTATCTATCTATCTATCTATCTTGGTCTGGTTATATCTGTCTATCTGTTTGTCTATCTAACTACCTATGTATCTATGTAATTGTATCAAAAAATTGCTGTCTTCATATCTATCTATCTATCTATCTATCTATCTATCTATCTATCTATCTATCTATTTCAGTCTATCCATTTGTTCATCTGTCATTGTATCAATATATTTGTTGATTCATGCATAATATACCGATGTAGATTCCTCTAAATTGATAGAATACGCTAACATTTTATCAGCCGAGCCGAGTTCGAATTCCAGTCGAATCCATTACATTCACTTACGTGCTAATAGCCTTGGGAAAGGTGTGAATCCTCTTTCTTCTCCCTCCAGCTATGGGTAAATAGCAGGACAGACTGGGTTCTATAGCCTTGGATGGCAACTGGTCTAGGAGAAGGAAAACTTTGAATTCAAACCTGCTCTTAGAGGAGGGTGAATGGAGTCTCTCTGAGCCTTGGTTGGCAATCCATTTAGTGATGGTGTCACGATAAAAAACACCCTTGATAGCCCTAGCGAAGCATCAAGAATTCAGCTATTTGACAAGATTATGAACTACACCAATCAAAGTATTGGTGAGTTCAATCTCGGCTGAGGCCGCAAGATGATGATGAAGTTTAAATTTAAGGCAGATGACCGACCTCTTCCCACTTCCCCATTTTGACATTGTGCAACATTTTCTGTATATTCAGAAATAAATATTGCTTATATAAATTAGATTTTTTTTTATATTGGAATCATACGCGTAACCAAGCTTTTCCGATAGCTATAAATTTAAAAAAGTAAATTGTTAATTTAATGAAATTTTGTAATTATTTGTTGCTTATTAGATCTGAGATAGATTTGACTTCTTTGAATATTTATTAGGCATTTCCTTTTTCTCTATAAATATTTGAAATTTTGTTTCGATTGATGAACCTTCTTTCATTGTGGATAATACGAGAAATTTTGAAGGGGAAATTAAAGACAGTAAAGAGGTTCGTATTAACACATATACACGCTTTCACAAATTTGTACTTATCTAAAAATATCTTATTTGAAACAGCAAAATTGCAAATACATTCAGTTGATACAATCATCAAAGAATATAATAATTATCAATATGGATTTACTTATATATTTCCTGCCCCATCTCTAGAAGAAAGGGAGATAAATCAATGTAAGTTAGTAAATTTGCGACTGGTTACTTCTCTTATTCCTTTTGATAATCTATATCAGCGTTTCTCAACCGTTCCTGGCGTACTAAAAATCCAGAAAGGTAGCCAACTATGCCTAAGTTAACAGAAGAACAATTCAGGAATTATTTTAAAAAATCTTTATGTATCAAAATGCCAGCGACACCAAGTATATGGATTTGATTTAAGCCTTTGAGCCCTGCGTTCCTGAACAATTTTAATCCTTCTGCCTGAGCTCCTGAGTCAAAATTCGCAAATAATTGGTATGCAATGTTTCATGGTAGATATAAAAATATTTACAAAACAGATAAGCATTATACTTAGCAGGAAGAGAGTATGATTGGATGCCTTCACTTTATCGCCAGAATTCTTCGTGGTAAAAACGATATTTTTTATCAAATGCACAAAACACAATGAAAAGGTACCGGCATGTTGTTATAACGTTCGATGACGTCAGAATATTACGACTTTTCTGATTGGTTCTTCAAAATAAGACAGCCAATAGCAAATCCCGACACAAGTGTTTACCCACCGTTTAACTGATAGCTGGACATTACGTTATTTTTCTCTACGGTGGTTGTGGCTTAAATGGTTATATCAAGTCTTTGATATTTGATATTTTAAACTGGGTGTTAAATTCCTTAATATTTTAAAAGGAGGGAATAAACCTTTCATCTTTTTTTTCCTCAAGGCATAACATATAAAGCCTGTTATTCAAAAAATTGACAAAAAATATCAATCATGTGTTTCGTACAAACATACCTAAATATACAATGTAATGTCTTAAAAATAAATGCTTATTTCAGGAGACTTCTTTATTATTTTCCTATTTTCAAATTTCTTGACTAATTTTTCTTCTTAAAATTTAATGTGCCCTAAAGTGTTTTAGTTATTCTACAAGTGCACCATGAAAGAAAACTAGTTGAAAAACACTGATCTAAATAAATAAAATATTTATCAGAATTTAGACAAAGTAAGTTGCCGAGCAAAATTAACCGTTCCTTTACCTCCACGTTTCTTAGATTGCTGTCTTATTTGTTCAAGCCTTTCATGTGAGGCACTCAGATAATTTTGTTAAGGGATCGTCTTTGTTCAACTTGGTATTGAAATAGGCTTTGTCGTCGCCGCTTCTTTCGTCCTGTTGCCAATCTTCTTTCGTCCTTTTTCTAATTTTCTTTCGTCCTGTTGCTAATCTTCTTTCGTCCTGTTTCTAATCTTCTTTCGTCCTGTTGCCAATCTTCTTTCGTCCCTTTTCTAATTTTCTTTCGTCCTGTTGCTAATCTTCTTTCGTCCTGTTGCTAATCTTCTTTCGTCCTGTTGCTAATCTTCTTTCGTCCTGTTTCTAATCTTCTTTCGTCCTGTTGCCAATCTTCTTTCGTCCCTTTTCTAATTTTCTTTCGTCCTGTTGCTAATCTTCTTTCGTCCTGTTTCTAATCTTCTTTCGTCCTGTTGCCAATCTTCTTTCGTCCCTTTTCTAATTTTCTTTCGTCCTGTTGCTAATCTTCTTTCGTCCTGTTGCTAATCTTCTTTCGTCCTGTTGCCAATCTTCTTTCGTCCTGTTGCTAATCTTCTTTCGTCCTTTTTCTAATTTTCTTTCGTCCTGTTGCTAATCTTCTTTCGTCCTGTTTCTAATCTTCTTTCGTCCTGTTGCCAATCTTCTTTCGTCCCTTTTCTAATTTTCTTTCGTCCTGTTTCTAATCTTCTTTCATCCTGTTGCTAATCTTCTTTCGTCCTTTTTCTAATTTTCTTTCGTCCTGTTGCTAATCTTCTTTCGTCCTGTTGCTAATCTTTTTCTTTCGCGAAAAAAATTTCATTTCACTATTATATTAAACAGTTATTTTTTTAACATGAAAAGATATTAAGAAAGAATTTTTTTATACAATACCATGAGTAATCAATGAATCATGAGTACCATTGAAAACTGAAAAAATATAAACTTAATTAAACGGTTAATTAGGCTCTGTTTTAATTCACATTTTTTTCTCCGCTTTATAGAATCTCAGTACTTTTGTTTCAAACCTTTGTTTAATTAAATCTCACTGTTATAAATTTCTTACACTAATAATAATAACAATAATAATAATAATAATAACAATAATAATGCGAAACAATTGACCATCTTGGACCAGGTTTCACAGTGTTAGCATCCCCCGAATATAAAACTCGGCATTATAGAGTGAGCCAATATCGACACTGGAAAATATGCAACTTTTACGGAAAAAAAAAAATGCAAGAAAATGGTGTGAATAACATCCAGACCCAGTTACAGAGATAGAACCTGTAATAGTTTTATGGGACTTTGCGACACAGAGAGAATAATCGAAGATAATCAACTGAACCTCCTGATCAAAGATAAGAATGTGCTTTCTTATTGACATGACAGTCCCTGCAGATTGTAGTGTATCTTTGAATATCTTCCCCCAAAAACCTATCAAAATACAAGCATCTTGAATTTGAAATCTCAAAAATGTTGCACACGTGAAGATCAATAACTCTAGTTGTAGTTGGAGTCCCTTGGTTTGATTGGAAAAAAAAAATCCGATAGACTGATTCAAGGGATTCCTTGTAAACCGTATCTTAAAGAAATACAAAAAAAAAATTTACTAACAAGTACAGCTCACACATTACGAAGAGCTTTATCTATGTAAAATGTACGTGATCTTAAGTTCATTTTTATTTTCATTTTTATTTTCAGAAAAATGATCAGTGGAAAATATGATGATGCCAATTCAGACGTTAGTTTTCTGGTTGGGAAGCGGAAGGAAATGTGTATACAACAGAAATCAAAGGAAGAAGTAATGATAATAATAATAGTAATAATAATAATAATAATAATAATAATAATAAGCTGACGTAGACAAAACCCGTACCCATCAGTGGCTACGTAGTGCAGGGTTGAAAGCGGAAACTGAAGGTTTTATCCTTGCTGCGCAGGACCAATGCTTGCTAACTAGGAATTATCAAGCACATATACTAAAATATTGTGTCAGCCCAAAATGCAGATTCTGTGATAAATATCCAGAAACGATTGATCATCTTGTATCAGGTTGTACGGTGTTGGCACCCACTGAATATAAAACCCGACATGACAGAGTGGGCCAATATCTGCACTGGAAAATCTGCAACTTCTACGGGAAGGAAACTGAAAGAAAATGGTATGAACACCACCCAGACCCGGTTACGGAGATAGGACCTGTTACAATTCTATGGGACTACACAATACACACTGTCAGAACAATCAAGGCCAACCGGCCAGATATTGTTATTAAAGACCACAAACAAAAACGATGCCTCCTTATTGATATGGCAGTCCCTGCTGACTGCAATGTATCTTTGAAGATATTCAAGAAGTTGTCAAATACAAGGACCTTGAAATAGAAATCTCGAAAATGTGGCATATGGGAACATCAACAACCCCTGTTGTAGTTGGAGCCCTAGGATTGATTGAAAAAGATTCCATTAGACTAATTGAAGGGATTCCTGGAAGTCCATGCCTCAAGGAGATACAAAAAATTGTTCTGACAAGTACAGCCCACACCTTACGAAGGGCTTTATCTATGTAATTAATTTTTTTTTTTTGTGGAAAATGTCATGACGCCATTTCTAACCTTAGGTCCCTGGGCGGGACCCGGAAAGAAATGTGTAAATGCCAGAAATCAAAGAAAATAAAAATGATAATAATAATAATAATATGGCGGTGGGGTAAATATGGCGTAAGGCTTTATAGAATAAGAAATTAGCCGCTAAAATAATTTGAAATATTACCGTTGCTGCCTAAGGATATTGGATAATAGTAGGTTAATACATTAAACCAGAAAGCCCTTACTGTGACCGCCATAATGCTCCATTGACTAAAAATATATATATATATATAAATATAAACTATATATATATATAGTCGAGGTTTCACACAAAACATCTGGCCTGAAGATTGTATTCCAACATAAATTCGGTGTTGAACTCATTTTGTCTGGATTATTTAAAATAGAAACACATTTTCATTT